AGGGAAAAAGTATGTGCGAGTTACCGCGTGATTCCATGATCGAAATTCTTATGAGATTACCAATTAAATCACTGATGAAGTTTAAATGCGTCTCAAAGCAATGGTCATCTCTCATCTCTAGTTGAGACTTTTGCAACAGTTTCTTTACAGCCACACGACAACAACAACGTCTATACATGTCTTTAGTGGATAATAAAGAAGGTAAATGTGTACTTCTATCAATGTCATCAACGTCTCTAGACAAGACTCGTTTTGTGGTCGACCAAGATTTAAGTCTCCCAGGGATGGGAGGCTTCTTTTTGAACGTTTTCCGCGGCTTGATTTGTTTCTCAGTTAGAGAAAAGGCTTGTATCTACAACCCTAGCACAAAACGACTCTTGACCTTACCCCCCATAAAATGCGACATCATAGTTGAACAAGGTCAAAACAAGGATACCAAATACTATATCGGACACGACCCCGTTAGTGATCAATACAAAATATTCTGCACAATTGCGATATCCTCCACAATTTTCGCCAATATCAAGTCAGAGCATTGGGTGTTCGCAATAGAAGCTGGAGGTTCGTGGAAAAAGGTTGTTCATTTGGAAAATGATCATGCCCCTCTCTTACGAGGACGGGCAATCAATGGATCAGTAATACGTTATATGGCTTTGCTTGATATGTATACTTGTGCGGTTGTGAGTTTTGACGTTAGGTCTGAAGAGTTGACTATCTTCCCTATACCTAGATTACTCGGCGATGTGGATGTGTCTATGTATGCAATTATACACAAGGCGAATATTATAGAGTATGGAGAAAAATAGCTATTTTCAATCGTCGCTACCCTTCTGGCAAGGATTGTACGAATTTATGGGTATTGGAAGTTGCTGGGAATAAGAAATGGTCGAAGCAGACTCTGGTTTTGCAACCTTGTCAAAGACACTTAGTCCAAGACATGGCTTTGATAGTAAAAGGTACAACTAAGGACGACAAGGTTATCTTGGCACCATTAAATATGTGTTCTCGATTCTACATACTTTGTTACGATATGCAAAGCAATTATATGAGAAAAGTTGAAATCAAAGGAGTACCACACCTTTGGTTTGGTAACAAGTGTTATTTTGACGTGAACTTTATGGATGAGAGTGAGAGCTTCATCTACTTGGAAACTTGACCACTACTTATGACTTAGTTTGTCTATCCAATTAAGAATACAATTGAGTGGGTATATATTTTTGTTTAAAACAATATCAACTTTCAAAAAAACGAGTTATTTGTTTTTTTTGTGATTTTTATGATTTTTTGTGTAGTGATAAAGCTTCAATATCTCGCCTTGCTTTTTATGTTATAGTTTTCAGCCGAATTTTGTGAGAACATGTGTATCAGAAAAGGACATATATGCGAGTTTCCTCTGGATCTCGTGATCGAAATTCTTATGAGATTGCTAACAAAGTCCCTGATGAGGTTCAAGTGCGTCTCAAAGCAATGGTCATCTCTAATCTCTTGTCGAGAATTTTGCAACAGTGTATTTACCGTCAC